ATTTGCAAAAATATTGCGGTAGGGTACTTTCAGATTGGATACGAGGAATAAAAAAAAGAAAAAAAAGTCGTTTGCTCTTTTTTCAAACTTCTATGTGATGGATTTTACTATCGCTTCAAAAGTGACTTAAATTGCTCTTGGTGAAGATTTTGACTCTTTTTTATATTTTTATTTTGGAGGGAAATAAATTAAGAATTTTTTTTTTTGAAAAGGGTTATTTCCTTTTTTATGTTTTTGGAAAAATATTTCCTTTATTATGGATCTTAAAAAAAGTAGTATTTAAAAAGCTTCCAAAAAGCTTCTTAGATATACATAATATTAAAGAATAAAGCACATGATTAAGGAGAGAATGATATGTGTTAATAAAAGAATAAAGCACATGTTTATCGAAGAAAAAATGCAAACAAGATCATAGAATATAATTATATTTACTTAACTTTCTTCGTTTTTCTATCATTCATTTCGCTTATGTATTAATTCATAGGTAATTTGTTTAAATTTCTGTTTTTAAAAATATGTTTATCGTGGTCAAAATCTAAGTTATATCATAACTTTATGTTTTTGAAAAAATATTTACTTTGTAGATTAATTTAAAATGAAGCTGTGATAAATTTTATTATGATCTACACTTTTCTTGTATAATATGATTGTATTGATTCTTAGCATAAATTTTGATTGAAATTTTTTTTTTATATCATACTTTTAAAAAAAAATATTTTTGCTGTATTTGCGCAGTTGTTTATTTTTCAAACCAGTTTAATCCAGTTTCAAAAGTTTAAAACAAAAAAAAATGAGAAAATCATGCGGAAAGAAAGATAATGTTTCTGTAAGAAACTGTATTAGATAATTTTTTGGAAAGAAAGTTTTTATTTAAGGGTGGGAAGATAAAAAATTTGAACTAACTTTAAATATTTTGGTACTTCTACTATAATCTATATTGTACCATTAAATAATTTTAGTAGAATTCAATGATGAATTCCTTAAAATCCTTAAATAATAGGTAATTTTAATACCTTAAAATGATGAATAATTTTAATATTTTTAAATAATGCATATATAGATCAAAAAGTTTTGATTTATGAACGTAAAATAACAATAACCCAAACGTGTTATATTAAAGAAACTTTCAGCAGTGTGCATACAAACAATTAAATGCTCATTATCAAACAATTTTTTACATTTATAAATGTGTATTTTGTTGTGTACGTATTTAAATGCCCACACAAAATACGCATTTAATTATCTGTTTAGTTAAGCCAGAACACAACTCCTTTTGCAAACATAAAAACAAAACAAAGATGCATTAAATATATATATTTGAATATATCTTTTCATGACTAAAAAGTACAGGAACAAGCATAAATAATCATCTGACTGTACAACACATAGAATGAATTATAAAACAGCTAACAAGACACGTTGAGACAAAAAGCTCGTACTACAATGAAGTCAACAAAACATAGGTCTCGATACGAAAGCATCGGCAACACATCTGTTCATCCTTTCTTTACAAAATATGGCATCGAAGTTTCATTTTAATTCGGTTGGTTTCTTTGATACATGGTTAAAATAACCTTCTGGACACCCATAGAAACAATCGAAATTAAGTCAATCATTTTGTCAAATTTCAAATTAAATTCACGTAAAAAAAAAGAAATGTTTGCTGTAATTAGAACGAAACCAGTTATTCCTTAACTAAACAGACCACTCCAAATTTTAACTTGAAGTCGTTAAATTAGCGATAATTTTTTCACTTTGAAAAAATTCATTCGAATCAATTTAAAAAAAATTTTTGTCTATTTTTATGATTACGAACAATGTAATTTTGAAATAACTTTGCAAATTTTAAAAATTTTTTATCAACAGCTTTTTATTTTTAATAAAAAAAAATTTTATTCTTCATATTGTACCATTTTCCTAGAAGGCGCTAGCAAGAGAGGGTCAAATTCAGTTATTAACTGAAAAAAAACTTTTAAGTTTTAAAATGAACATTTCATTTTGAATATGTCAAATATATTCCATTGAGTTCTTCTAAAAACCTAGTGTGGTCCAATAAATATCTTTTTTTTTAGAAATCTCAATAGTCAAAACGCAAGGAAATATTTTTAGACAAATATTATTACATACTAATAAGTCTTTTAAATAAGTTTTTTATATACATTTTTTTTTCTTCTAAAAAAAACGAACCTTAGGCACGAAAATATTTATTTCATATCAAAAAAATTTAAATTCTGGACCTTTTGCTCATTCAAACTTTTGACAAAATTAATACTATACTAGATTTTAAACGAATCTCTTTTAAACATAACTTTTTCATAACATTAAGCAAAGCTCTTTTTCTTAATCTTAAATATGGAAAAAAGAAAAAAAAATTACTTTAAGTTTAGTGTTAATCGGAGATTTTCTTATTAAGTAATCAATTTAGTAATGAATTTCAATTTAGTAATGAACAACTAATTTCATTCCTTCAGTTTGCTAGTGTTATTGTATGTATCCAGTGTTATTGTATGCTACTTACATTATGAATGCAAATTAACACCTTTATAAAAATATAATTTATTATAGATCTTAATGATTCGAGTTAACAGATTTAAAAATAATAAAAATTATTAATAAATAAAAAAAAATATCGGGTGCAATTATTTTCATTATTAGAATTCAAATATTAGCATAACTTTCATCAAGAACTTACTTAAAAAATTAGAAATAATACTTTGCGGACATTTTACTAAATTTTATACTTTGTCCCCCCCCCCCCAAAAAAAAAAAAACTAAGGGAATAGTGTATTTTCTTAAAAGAATGAAAAGGATAAGAAAACGAAGCGTGTATTTAGAAAAATAACGATGTAAAAAAGAGCAAAAGTATTTAAAAATGGTTCAAAATTTAAAAATATTTAATATGAGAAGAATAAAATTTCACTTAGTTTCTTGCTACTTAAAAGTCATCAAGACAATATCTTAACGTATTTATTTAATCGTAATACTCTGCGATATATAACTTATAAACGTGGTTACATGCCAATATTTGCGAATATCAGCAATATTGCTGAAAACACCGTGCAAAAAATATGTAATTTTTTTTTAAAACTTATTTTTTTATTTAGTTAATTTAAAAAATCTCAAATTTTACAATAGTTTAAAAAAATTTTAGACTATGGAAAAAATAAATGTGTATTTAAATTGCTAACGCAAAATTCTATAAAACAGTAATTGATATTACTGCTTAAAAACAAGAGGTCTAATGGAGTTAACATAATTTCCCATGTATGGATGTCCAGAAAGTTTGGATCGCAATTGGAGCACCGTTGGAACAGCAAAAAACAAAATGGTGAGCAAACATCTAGTGAATGGACAACATATAGGACGTGATATGTAAAAACACAGCCAACATCACAACACTTTGCTGACTCCAATTTAGCTACTAATTAAGAATACTTGTAGCAAAAAAGACTTTATGTACAACGGTTAACAAAATTCTTTCACGTCTTGAAGCACAAAACGATTAATATACGTATACTATGGTGATTTATCATCTTGCAATGGAACAATTCATGTCCACATGAAAGGTGTATAGAACAGTTATTATTTACAGAAACACGCTTAGAAATGTCTCCTTTGTACAGGTTTGATGAGTGCATTAGAATGAGAATAGTTCTATGGAATTGAGTGTCTTAATGAATTGACAATATTTTTACATTGAGAAAAATTCTATTACATACTAGAATTGATATTAGTATGACAGAATTGAGAAAAGTGAATTCTATTGTCTATGGAATTGCTTGTATTTTTTTAAAAAAAAAATTAACACATAAGGTGATTGAACTTTAAGAAAGATTTTCGAATTTTAAGTAGGGCTTGTACACGGAGATAAAAATTCTGGTAAAATTACCGTATTGTATGGTAATGACACTTAAAAACCTATAATTTTGGTAGTTGATAAAATCAAAATATACGACATTTAAACTATTCATTTGGTGATTGTTCCGTTCATATGTTAACGGTTTATCGGAACTTCTGATTTTCAAAATTTTTACCACATAGTTAGTTAAAAATGTATAACTAAAAAACTAATTTAACCTAAAAAATGGTTTTTATACCATGTTCTAAAGTGGACATGATAAAATTACTAAATTTTACTACTTTTGCCAAATTTCGTCCCAATTGCTTCGGTAAAAAATACCGAGCTTTTTGGCGTTTCCATAAAGCAAGAAACACGGTAAATTTTTCCATATTCTGGTAGTTTTGACCATACTTTTTTCTCTGTGTAAGACTTTCTTACATTTTTTTAAGAATTTATGTTAAATTTTGAATAGTTTAAATCTACTTTTTTAAATAAAAATTTAAAAAAAACTTATTTTATTCGTGTAACTTTTTTTACATTAAGTTTAAAAAAATTATAATAATCATAAAATAAATAACCTACGTAGTGGTTGATTAAGGTGAATTATTTTGTTCAATTATTAAATGTTACTCTAATTTAAAAGCTATCAAATAAATTTCAAAATATAGATAATTTTTTTTTTTTTTTGTTTTANTTTTTTTTTTTTTTTTTTTTTTTTTGCATAAGAAAAAAAAAATTCTGGTAATGAGCAATTAAGATAAACTAATCGGTACAATTATTAAATGTTATCGTGATTCGAAAATTATCAACTGAATTTTAAAGCATGGAAACATTTTTGAAACAAAAGGAAGAATTAAATTAGAAGCTGATGAACAATGTAATAAAGTTTAACTCTTTTTATTTCATGATTTATTATGCTTTATTTCATGTTGAGCCTAAAATTGTAGTTGCAAACTTTAGTTAAGGGAATCTTATTTTGTATAAATGAAGTATATTGTTGAAATCAGCATAACTTATTGATAATCCAAATTACATATTTGAACATTTTATGACATAACCATTATCATAAAATAAGATTACTTCGTAAATTATACAGTAAATAATTCATTTTGTATTATCTTAAAAATATTATTTTATTTCAAATATTTAACTTTTAAAAAAAAATTCTGTACTATTTCAATTGCATTAGAAATCACTCAATCCAGGTAATAAATAATTAATTTTAATACAAACTACAGCCAATCCTAACCGCAAGATATTTAAAAAACACAACAAATTTGATTATTAATAAAAAATGGATATTATAACTTTTAATTTCACTCTTGAAGATTGATTGGCGATAGTGTACCAACTTTGTTTTCTATCTATGTACAATTTTACAATTATTTACATAATTTTTAAAAAAAAAATGAAAGAGGTCTTTTTAAATAGATCCAAAAAATATCTATTAAATATTTTCGTTCTACATGAGACTTTGAAATATACGTATATTGAGTTAGTTAATAGTTAGTTTAGTTCTAAACGTAAACAGCAAATTGGAAAAAAAAGCTGGAAGATATGTTTAATTTAGAGCAAAAAAAGAATTCCATGAATTTATGGCAACAAATTGAAAAGTTAAAATTTAAACTGTGCAAATATATCGTGACAGATCGATATTTTAAAGCAACAAAATACGTATTTCTTTTAAAAATTTCCTCAAACGTTATACCATTTATAACATGTCAAACAAAAAATACCTAATATATATAATAATGAAATGATAATATCGCGAATATACAACGGTAAATGTCGAATACAATTATAAGACAAATGTTTATAAATTTCAATTGGTAAACGAAAACATTGACCAATGTAAAAACATCTCGACACACAGTGGAATATTGATACTTTTAAAACATTATAGTAGTGATATTTTAAAAAGCAATTTCACGATATGTCACAAATACCGTACTTTACGATTAGTACAGAATGCGATTATATTTATAATGCTAACAAGTTCCTTATGGGCAACGAAAGCATTAACGAATGTAAAAAAAAAAAAAAAAAGGAAAATAACTCGATATATTGCGAAATATTATTCATTTTTAAGGAAATGTAATACGATATTTTAAATATCTCCAAATAGATAATGACTACTGTCTATATAAAATATTTACCGATATAAAAATATCGTAAATAAAGAAAAATAGCGTTATACGAGTATCACGATAGATCAGCACACTAAACAAAAAAAGTTGCAATGGATTTAATTTTGAAACTTTTTGTCTTGTTATGCAAATGTTTCTATTTAAAATAATGACGTGCAAAAAAAATATGACAAACAATGAATTAACATTAAATTTTCCACAACGATATAAAGTGAGATTTGATACAAAATTTAAATAGATAAAATGATTATTTTCAAATTGGTCCAAATGATTTATTTCGGAATAGTTTAAAACAGTTTTATTGCAATATTTACTAAGAGTTTTACTGAATTTTTCGTGATTCATTTCAAATAAATGTTAGCAAAACTATTATTTCATATTTTTGTGCAGTCATTTTGATATTCCAGTGAAGATTAAATTTTTATTAAAAAAAAAATTCTTTTAACTACTAATACATGGAACCAATTTTATCAATAATTTCACTTCTATAAAAAACCAGTTGTAAAAAAAAATAAATAAAATTGAAATATCATGAACCAACAAGTCTTTTTTAAAAAAAAATAAATAAAATTAAGAACCAGCATATTTAGGATGTTTAAATAAAAATTAATTAACAACTTAATGTAATACAAACTTTTATAGCTTTAGATGCTTAAACCTATTTTTATATAGAGTATTTATATTAAAATCTGTTACCTTTTTGAGTCCTATACATAATTTTAGACGCCCAGCGTCTGAATTTGATTTATTTCTAAACATGTGATAGTGGCACCTGTTTACAACTGGATGGTACATGCCCCACGTGGCTTGCGGGGCTCAAGGGCTTGAACGTTCGTGGTCCATAGAGAGCATCAGTACCACCAGGAGTGCCAGTCCTTTGTGACACAGACCCTGGGCCACTTCTGTGTCCACGTCGACTACACAGACGATTTCTCCAAGATTCGATAGTTTTAGTTGAAGTTATCCAACAACCTGATGTTATTCCCACTACGAGACACATGAAATATTTGAGCATAAAAACAGAATAGTCAGGACGGGTAGTGTCCGTCTCGCAAGGACAATTGTGTCGTCTGTCCCAACGCTCTCTATAGTACTGCTCATAGATATGACACCCGATCACAATAGTTGCAGGCACCGTGTAAAGGACGGAGAATACCCCGATTCGAATCATAAGTTTCTCCAGTTTGTCTGCTTTAGCCCGTGCTTGTTGTCGAATCACTTTTCGGATACGGAATAGGGAGACAAATCCAGCAAGCAGAAAAGATGTGCCTAACACTAAGTATGCACACAGGGGGAAAATGACGAACCATCGTAGATGGTCAACATTCTGATTCCCAACTGAGCATACTCCTGCAACGGGATCACCATCAACAGCACCCATGGCTAAGACAGCGATAGATTTTCCTGTTGGCACCAACCACGCAGCGAGATGAAAGTATTGAGAATATCCTGCAATCGCTTCATTTCCCCATTTTAGACCAGCTGCCAGCAGCCAAGTTAAAGTTAGAATGACCCACCATAAAGAACTGGCCATTCCAAAGAAGTACACCAGGAAGAAAACGATAGTGCAAGCAGGTGGGCGACCTGTGGTGTGATAGCGTATGATTTGCCCGTCACAGGCCACTGCCTCGTGGCCGAGACCAAGCCTCACCAGATAGCCCACGGACACCATGAGGTAGCAGCCTGACAGGAAGATGATCGGACGTTCCGGATAACGGAATCGGGATGGATCGATGATGAAAGTCAGTACTGTCAAACTGGCTGAAACACAGCAAATGATGGCCATGAGCCCAATCCAGAAGGAAGCAAAGGTTTGCTCATCTTTGCTGAAAAATGTGCCGCGGCATGGTCTTGCGCAGTACGGTACTCCACCGGTGGAAACGTCGTTGTACACTCGGCGTTCAGCTGGGTCTACAAGAGGTACCATTGGAAATCGGCATTCACAGGTACACTCAGTATCTGGTCCAGGAGTTACTAATCCTGGTTGTCTACCAGTACTGCCTCCAGGAACAATAGAATCGTGACGATCCCGAGCTTTAGAGTTTCGTCCTCTGTAGGATGGTGGTTTTCGAACAGGTTTTGTCTCTTGTTTGGTATTTATTTCACCATTTTCTGGTCCAGCACCTTCTTTAGCATCCATGCACAGGTGTTCTTGATCACCATATCGTGGAAAATCGTCACAATTCATACGTTCAGGCCAAACGAAGCCGTATTTGTGCATAATTGGAGCACAGCCGGCTTTTGCTCGTTCACACACCGAATAACAAGCTGGGAGTTGACCGTGATAATCTTCGATGCAAATTGGTGCATACAATGAGCATAAGAAGAACAATAAATCGTCGGAGCAATGTATTTCAACTAATGGCCAAAACTGATGAACTTCGAGTCCAGCTTCTTCCTGTGTATCATGATGAAATTTGTTTGGCATAGAAGTGTAATTATAACCAATTCCTTTGCACATAGGAATTGTTATTTCTTCACATCGTTCTTGCTGTCCTGTGACAAAAGCCACAAATATGCACAAACTAAGTGTGTGCAGAATAAACGATAACATTGTTGATGTTTTTTCAACAGCAGAAGAAAGGAATCATGGTACCACACCTAATCAACATTGTGCGATGCAGAAAATAAAGTACACATTGGCATAAGTACTTTAACGTGAATTGAAGGCTATTATAAATCCATATTGTTTAGAATTCTGCGTTTTCTAATTTAATAATTAATTTTTTTCTCGCAATTTATTTCTGAAGTTAATTAATTTTGTTAAATATTCACAAGCGTGTGGAAGAAGTGATTATTTTCTGAAATGGTGCACACTTAAAAAGCCATTATGATCGATAGAATATTCCATTCCTGCAGAGAGAATGTTTCCTACTCCTCGTGTATCCAATAAAGATGAGAAACGAGTACGGTAGAGAAATCACTTCAATCACAATAAGAACACAGTCCCCCTACTTGGCACTACGAATTGTGTGGCTAGTAAGACCTCCTCTTTCTGCTTTCTCCGGCTTCATCTACGTCGGCGATGACGTCAGGAAAGATTTGTCGAATGGGGAAGAAGAACTCCCTGCAAGCATCGGAAAGGTGGGACACCTGGTGAGAAAAAGGAGAAACGTGACAAAATGCGTGAACAATATAAGAAAAGGGAGGGAATATAAAAAAGGGGAGAGAAAAAACAGAGTAAAAAAAATGAAGTAGTTTTTAGAGAACCTGGCAAAAGCTTTTCTCTATTTGGTGACGCACAATTATTGCGGTTCGTAGGTGCTAAAGTCGGTTGTAACAAAAGAGATTGCTTTAGGATTCGGCTTTCAGGGATCGGCTACTATTTTAAGGAAGGTTTAATGGGTGTTAATACTGTATTTTTAAGAAATTTGTCTTTGAGGATTAAATAGATTAAAACAATTATTTTGTAAAATTATAAAAACAAATAACATTTTTATTTAATATAAATTTAAAAAACAATTTTTTTTCAAAAAGATGAAAAAACGGAATAAAATTAACATAATTAAAACTATTGCTTTCTCTTAATTATCAACATTACCGATATAAATAATGTGCATAATAGTTGAAATTTTTTGTTAATTTAATGAATCAAATTGGAGAATAATTATTATCTGTAACAAATTTGTCTTATAAAGTATCTAAATTTAGGTGAGTGTAAGAATAATTAAACTTAAAACAATTATTGGCAGAATAATAAAAATTATCATTTGCACTAACATTTTGCACAAAATGTTAGTTAATCCTATTGCATTCTTTAAGAATTTCTAACTTTGGGAATATTTATATAGTTAATTTCGTTAAATGTAACTACAACATCCCAAATGTGTAAAGCTAGAACTGAGTTAAATTTTGTTTTCATTAAAAGTAATCTGGCAAAGCTGTGCCTGCACGAATTGTGCTGCACATAAGTAATTATATGCTGAAAAAGACCTCTCCCTAATGGATTGTATAAATAATAACTCATTAACTTAAATCTAGACATAATAGTCTTTTATTATAATTATAAAAAAACACTGATCATACTTTTTAGAAAATATTATTTATTGCAGACGAAAACTATGCTATTGATAAATGAAAAAATAAAATAATTTAATTACGAGATAATTATTTAAACTGAACTGAAGTTGCTGACGTTTGCTAAAGTAGTATAGTATAATTTCCGTGAGAAATATTGAAAATGAGTCCTCAAATTTTGCACAATTTATAAACTATTAATTTAGGATGCTTTTTAATATCAAAAAGTGTAAAGATATACTCTTTGTTTGATTAAAAATTTATATTTAAAGTTTATAAAAATAACTATTTTTGTGCAAAAGATTTTATAAAAGACGGCAATTAGAATCGTCTTCTAATACTTGGTTTTTAATATTTAGTTTTGAATGTAATAAAATAAAGTAATAGTTTTTCAAGTGACATACTTTGCACTAACTCTTAATATTTAAAGTTGAATTAATTCAAGTTAAATTAATCAATATTCCAAGTTTATAAAAATAAGATTCTTTGTGCGAACGATTTTATAAAGGACTGGAATTTGAATCGTTTACTAATAATCAGTTTTAAACGTCTGCTTTGGAATATAATAAGGTAAATATACTGCGCACTAACTCTTTGTCAAATAAACAAAATTAATTTATAATTAATTCACTTAATAATAAACATGGTAAAGTAATTATACAAATTTTACTTCGCTAAAGCTTAAGAATTTTTTTCTTCTTTTTTGTCAAAAATATCTAAATATATACTATACCTTAGTTGACTTAAAAGTTGACTAAATATTAACGTTTAAAGTGAGGGGGTGAATGCAAATTTTTGTGCAAACAATACCTGCATAAATGATGAGAATTAAAATAATATTCTAATGTTCAATTCTGAACTTATATTTTTAATAGATTAAGATGTATCGACGCACTTGTTAATAAAAATTAAAAGAGCACAGTTTTTCTGTACCTAAATTACAGCAGACTGCTAAGATTAGAACTGTTGAGTTGCCTTAGCAAATGAAGAACAAAAAATTGCATTCAAAATTCAAGGTTTATAGTACATTAGGTTAAAGACACCAATACATTTAAAAGAAAGAATGCCATAAATAATAAAAGAATAGAGCAAAACATCTGTTTCAATAAAGTATCAATTCTTTATACCACATCTTTTGCGTAGAGTACGTTGTATTCGTGATTTAAGATTAATAAGATGTTCTGGTTTAATGCATTAATGGTCTATTGTTGTATTTCATTATCTTTTTTTAGATTAATTCCATTTATATAAGTAATAGATTAATTTTAGTCAACTATCACATAAAATACATTCAATTTACATTTTGTGTACCAAGTTTATATTTTTAAATTGCACATTATAGGATTTCATTAATAACTATTAACTATGAATTAAATTTATAATAACTGAGAATTCCATTCAAACTATTTGTATCAAGCTTGATGATATTTGAAGAGATATTAACATTCGTTTCATTTAATTTAGTACTCCTACGAGTAAAAAGCACAATCTAAATTCGAGCACAATTGTTTCAGATTTAAAAAATTACTTTACGGGTAATATGATGAGTATAAACAAGAATAGTTGTTGGACTTATCGATAATAAAATTAGATATATCTATAACTGGGCATTGGTTTCCAACTATATATTCATTGGTAAAAAGAAGATTATTCTTGTTTAAGGAATTAAGATAAGAAATGTAATTTCAGCGCAATGTATCATATTTAAAAATTACTTTATAGATATGGCAATAAGAATCGGGGTCGCAGATAGAAACGTCAATAATGGCTTAACATTTCTTTTAACCATTATTTTCATCAAGGCTGGATTGCATTGACAATATTAAGTTTAGTTTTGTCAGAATGCATTTAGTTAAAAAGATGCAATTTCAGTCGAAATCGAAGTATCGAATTTAAATCAGAAATTATTTTCATTGAAAAAAATACGATGAATAAGCATTGGAGTTCTAAGCAGAAGCGTTTCCAACAGCTGAACATTTCGCGATTATATTAATTGACGATGTTATCATTTAGAATACGTGTAGTTAAAAATCGTCAAGTTCAAAAATTACTTTTAATTCTCAGACGATATGATGAATGTGATATGAATGGAAAGAGAAATCGAGCGTTCTGTGATGAACAAGGGGACTTTCCGAATCTACAAGCGAATCGCTCGTTTTTATTCCATCTCGATTATCATAGTAGTGTGTTCGCGTCAAAAAGAAGAGATAATCGTCCTTCATCTTCAGCACGCGACTTCAGCTCGGTATTCCTAATTGCTTCATTAAGCAACGCTCAATTGCTCTCTAGTGGGGGATCATCTACATATTTCAACATTGCACTATTCTTTATGGTTCTTTCTAAATAAAAAGATAAATCAGAACTTAACATATTATCCCTATCTCCCTCAAATGATACACCGTATGTGAAATTTTTTTTTACAGATCTTTATTATTTGGGAACTTAAAAACAATGATTGAAATATTATATTAAACATTTATAGAAATATTATATTAAACATTTATGGAAATATTATATTAAACATTTATGGAAATATTATATTAAACATTTATGTAAATATTATATTAAAATAAAATAATTGTATTTCGAATTGTTTGCAATCATTGCAATTAAATCGAATGATGGCGAAAAGATACGATTAATGGGTAACTAGTATCTCTAGACAAACTAAGGTAGACAACGTTAAAGAGCACAAAAAAGTATCGTAAGCAGTATTAGTATCTCTAGAGCTGTTTCTAATGTGTTTTATAACAATATTTGTTTTATATAACTGTATATGTGGTATGTAGCTATGCATATGCTGTATTGTGCAACTATGTTTCATATTCATGTTTGAGATAGTACAAATAATGCGTTAGCTCATAATACGAGGTGGGGGTTTGTGATTTGCATATTTTTGCCAATAAGCGGAGAGGTGGGGTATGAGAAAAGCTTACGTAAGACATTCAAATCCGTCAAAACAAGAAGCATCAAAATCCTCAAAAACAAGAAACGTCCCCCCTTCCTTAAAAATTCTCTTAATCCTCAAGCAGGCTTGCTTATATTGACAAGTGGCATAAGTAGCATCCACCACAGTGCTTACGTAAAATATCCTCAGTGGTAAACGAATCATAACTTAGAATCCCCTTGGCATTAGGTTAACAACGAGAAATTTTCGTGGTTTCCTTCTTGATGTAACGCAAATGCGGGTTAGCTCCATCAAAGAGTCCTCCACAAAGGCAAATTTCTCCCAATACTTGATCCAGGAGTTTCCCTGTCTTCTGGATTGGGTTCAAAATTACAAGGCTACAACGTTGATCATTAGTAGTCTTAAACCCTAAAATTGGGTCGGCTGTTCAACGATGGTTATAAAATATAAAAGTGGCATAAGTAACAGCAGCAGATTACTACAGTGGGAGTCAAAATTAAAGAAAAATCAAGAAGGGTGTTGTGATTTTCTTACGTAAGCAGTGAAAGGAAGTCTGTGATTAGCTTACTTTTGTTGACAAGGGGGGAAGAGAAAATTCAAAATTGCCAAAAATATATTTGCGTACTATTTGCACGGTCATTTTTATAAAGGTTTAAGGAACGTGTGACAGGCAAATTCTTCTTTTAAAACGACTTATTTTAACAATCAGGATAGTGTTTGTGGCATGTGTTTGATTATAATGTTTCTGTAGTCTTCTTTTGTTGAAATGCCATCGATAATTCAATAAAGTACTTTTTAATAAATATAGATATCAAATAATATACTAAAAATATATTAGAAACATAATTATGATACTTATTAAAAGCATAATGATACAAGACAAAATAATCAACCAAAACGGATTAAAAAAAAATTAAGTTACTTTCATTATAAGTTAATACTGATTGTGATAGTTAAAAGTTTGCTAACAAAGTGCGCATTTAAATGAAATTATTAATTTGCTTGAAAAAAAAAATATGAACTGTAAAAAAAAAGCTTTCACATAGACTTCATGTGTGAAGGGATTGTATTTTGCAACCTACTATACGATCAAAAAATCTTATAATATTTTTCTTAACCATAGTAAAAAAGACGAGGCCAATAAAATATTAATTAAAAACCTTTTAAG